TGTCCTCAGCAACCTCTAACAGATTCTCTGCTATACAGACAGAATTTTTGCAGCTCCTTTTCCCATTTCCTTACACCAGCACCACTACCTCAAATATATGTAGAGGTTCATTTGGGTGATATGCAGTATTATTCTCTGCTGCCTGCAATGTTTTGCATGCAGGCTAGCTTTGGTCTCATCAGAACAGAGCACATGCTAGTTCATGTTGACCCGTGTCCACTACATGGTGTGGGTCTTTTTGAGACAATAAGTAGCCATGTTGCTCAGATGCATAAAAAAAAAAGACTGCAATGTTTTCGCAGCTGATCACAGCAACTCTAGTCAGTCCAATCTGTTCCATTAACTGCGTTTCTGAAGTATCCTAGCTGCAACGGGCACGCTGCTTCTCAAAAGTATACTTCTGTTTTATATTTGCCCCTCGGCGCACTGATTCAACGTCAATCTGAAGCAGGTACAAGTAAAAGATTGTACATTTATCAGGACCAGAACAGTTACTGCAAAAATAAACTATATCAAATTCAGCATTTAAATCATAGATTTAAAGAATCCAGTTTCAAAACTGTTTTGTAATTGCACATTTTAAATGGCATTACTAAAGAGTATTTATAAATAGCATTTATTAATTCATTATTGAATACTGCAATTTGAAAATATATTTTCAATTCATATTTCCAAATGAGAAATTAAAAAAACTAAATTTATAGATCTGATTTTAAATATTTTTTCTCATCAAACAATGAAAATTTCCTTTTCCAACCCTACCTTGTATTTTATATTGTTTTTGAAATTGCATTTTTATTTAAATACATACATGTGTTGTGACTGTGGATCGTGTTTTCGAGACTTTAATATCACTGTCATAATGAGCATTGAGATATATATATATATATATATATATATATATATATATATATATATATATATATATATATATATATATATATATATATATATATTTGAAATTCTCTTAACCATGATAGATCAAAAGAAAACAAGGTAAAGTGATGCAATTAAGAGCAGACATGTAAAACATGGGTAGCAATAACAAAATTACCACTTTACTGGTTTATGATTTTATTTAAAGCCAACAAGAACACTACTGTTGCGCCATGATGCACTGAGGTCACAGGAAACACGGTACCTGGCAGAAACTACACCGCAGCACACTGGAAGAGGAAGGGGTCAGGGGTTACACCTCCACCAAAGTAATGGACACACTTTGGCACAAGCCGGTAGTTCCGTCCCTGAGTGTAGCCAGCCAGAATTTGTCCCAGAATTTGTGCAATTTAAATTTTCAATTCTTTTTTTTGCTGTTTCACACAGAAGGCCATTAAAGGAGAAATAAGCAAAAATGTCCCCACTAAGTGCTATCTTTTGAGATGTTTAACAACAGATATCTTTCTATACCTCCACCTAGATTTAACTAGTAACTCAGAACTTTTTAAGACTGTTAGAAAGAGAAATTCGTTTTTGGAAATCTTTGTCTTTAAGCAAATGTTTCAAACAACTTTATGCGCTCTCTGCCATTTTACTTGTAGACTAAACTGCTCTGGGTGTGTTTTATAAGCATGGAGGACCTAACCTATGTTCACACGGACATACTTGCACACTCAGCTTTAAACAAGAATCTTAACAGGAACACAAAGAGATTTTTTGTGACGTTGCAACAAATTGCACCTGAAAAGATATCTGTACTTTCTATCTATTATGATAAATTACTGCTTATTGCTTAATTTTTTTGGTCTGAATTCTACACATTTAAGAATTTTATACAGTATAAGATTTTTGGCTATCCAATGTAATATCGATCTTTCAGTTCCTAGAATCGATAAAAAAATAAATAAATAAATGTTTTATCCAAAAAAATGAGGGCAAATGGGCTACCTCTGAACCGCCTCTCTGACGGATAGCGATGTGGAGCCCTGTTACTGTGCAGTGCAGCACCATTTCTGTAGTGAAGTCAGTCACAGTGGAAGACGACTGACTGGAACCCAAAACACCATGGATACCAAAAATAGTAAATGATCAATATCTTCTGACGAACATATACTGTAGAGCACTCGCTTTTTATTTTTTTATCTATAAATCTTATGTTGAAAGCAGGGGAAAATATCACCATGTACAGTGATATTGCAATATCGTGATAATATCGTATCGTGACCCAAGTATTGTGACACGTATTGTATCCCAACACCAATGCCAATACTCACCCCTAGTGAGGACAGGCAATAACATTGTTTTGGAATATGCATTTCAGGATTTCAATAGAAAGAGAAGAATAGTTGTGAACTGCAGTTCTGAGTCGACTCTACATCTACATAATATTTACCTATTTGTGTTAAAAATCCTAGTTGTCGAGCCTCTGCTCTGACAGATGAAGCGAAAGCACCGGAGGGAGGCATAAGAGATGAAACAGCCAGGAGATCATGGTCGAAGGCTGCAGGTGTGTTTGTGTGTTGATTCCTACAAAGGAAAGACAGAAAATAAAAAAAAAAGCTTTTCTATGCTTTGACCGGAGTGAACCTTTCACCACTGGGGTTTCTTGCAAGTATTTTTGGATTAAATCTGCCAGTGTTAGAGCACATGTGCTGTGTCAAATTAAATAAAAAGGCACTCAATGAACCCAAGCATGGTGTGATCTCCTAATTGTTAATTTCAAAACCATATTAAACCACAGTATATTTACCATTTACTCCTAAGTATTCTAGTATATATATATATATATATATATATATATATATATATATATATATATATATATATA